AATTCCAAGTTACCCAAATGATATCCGTCTGAAGCCATGGCATCCAAGTAACGCGGGTACACACGCTCGAAGAAATTCGCGATAGTCTCGCGCTCCAAAACAAGCTGGCCAGCTTCTGCGCCAGGAGCGCAACTTCGCGCACCCGCCACGATGTCAGCAAAGCAGAACACGCCCCACACCCTCTCTGTATCCTCTCTGCCAAAATCTTCAATCGCATTGCTCGGCTTTGACACGAAACCTTCAAACTGCTGCGCGCCAGCCACAACACTCTACAATGTTCTTGCAATATCGGGCCCCCTGGGCGCAGTCCAGGACACCCTTGCACTTCACTTCTCCGAATACAACTCTTCCGCCCCAATGCACCTCGACCGCAGACCAAGAAGAGAAATCAATTCCACATCTTCGCGGCACAACGACATGAACGTCTGCGCCCCTGCTGCGAGCGTTTCCTCCAACGCGTTCCTTTGTTTTCCGGCGTTTTCCCTCAACTGTGGCCGGGCATGCGGATGAGAGCTCGCAGCCCTGCTTCGCGGCCGCGCAGATATCTCGCTCCTCGTCGACCAAATTCGGCAATTCGGTTATTGCGCCAGCCTCGTGCTCAGCCCGAGGCTTGATGACGTCATGCCATCCATGCTCGGTTCATACAACGGCGAAGCACGAGACAGTCTCGCACATTCCGTCGGACGTCCTCTGCGCTGCCCCCAAGCGCCTGCCTCAAAAACATCCCCGCGTCAGCGTGGCGAAGGCCGCGGTGATATTCACTTCCAAGCAAGGTGTGGCAACCGAAAACACCGTCACCGTTTATAGGAATCTGCCCATGCAGACGATTAACAAATGCTCTCAGGGGGACGCCAGGGTCGTCACCTACGATGGGAGGGCAAACCCCGCAATTCCTGCTCGCTCCAGCATGCGGGAGCCTTCCCTCTGCTGCAGTTGCGCGAAAACAAAGCAGATCGCCGGCCACTCCAATGCGACCTCCAACGACGACGCCCGCGGGCAACCCGGCGGCCGGGCGACTCGCCGACAACGGCGATTCGAGCCCAGCCCAGGAGCGCGCGGGCAACCCAAGAGCCGAGTGCGTGGCGCGCCAATAAAACTTGGCGCCCACACGGCTACGGAAGTGAAGAAATGGCTGAGCAACCCATTACAAACTCTCTCAAACCCATTGCGTTGTTCCGCTGAGCGGACACCACGGCCGCGCTCTCATTCAAACACCTGCCACACTGCACAATTCAGACGCGCAGCACAGCCACGCTCTAATGTTCTTGCTTCGCGAAAACAAAATGGACACCAGAAGCGCCATGCTGTCCAAGCATGGCCCAAGAAGCTTCCCGACAACCCATCCCAGGTGCCCCAAAAGGACACCAAGAGACGGCCGATGCACACACCAACGCGGCCCCCCAGTGGCCTCCCAGACAGGCTTCCCACGAGATCACAATGAATATCCTATAGGTCCCATACCCACAACGAAGGCACGGTGGCGGGTTTGGGTTTGGCCGAAGGCCGTTAGATAAACTTGCGCAGCACTTACACTGACTGATGGGAGGGCGCTTCGTTCATGGGTGGCGCTTGCAATGCTTACACTGACTGATGGGAGGGCGCTTCGTTCATGGGTGGCGCTTGCAATGAGAAGGAATATTTGTAGGAGCGTAAGAGAAGGGGAACTGGGACGGGAGGGTGTATTGCAGAATCGTTGCTGCATCTCTGAATTAACCTGGTTGTCCTTATCCTCCTCCTCCTCCATCTCCTCCTCCGCCTCCTCACCATCATCAGCATCAGCATCATCATTATCCTGGTCCTCCTCCTCCTCCCCATCCTCCTCCTCCTCTTATTATTCGTCGTACTATTACCATTTGTACTATTATTCTTCTTATCACTATTATCATGGTTGTGAATATGATCCTTCTGTTTCTTAGTATTCTTATTGTGGCTATTACTCCTCCTCCTCCACCTCCTCCTCCTCCTCCTCGCAGTGAGAGGCGGCGCCAATGCAGAGGGTGACAAAGAGAAAAGGTCATCGTGGCCATCACCGTCGCAGGTCGTACGCTCTAAGGGCAGGCGTCGGAGAGGGGGGGGTCCATCGCGCATGCCTCAGAGTCGTGGGGCGGCCCTCCGCCGAGACGAGGCTGGGCAGTGGGCAAGTAACGTGCTTGGGTGGGCCCCCCCCCTCCTCCTCCTCCTCCTCCTCCGCCTCCTCCTCCTCCTCCTCCTCCTCCTCCTCCTCCTCCTCCTCCTCCTCCTCCTCCTCCCCCTCCCCCTCCTCCTCCTCCTCCTCCTCCTCCTCCTCCTCCTCCTCTTTATCCTCCTCCTCCTCTTTATCCTCCTCCTTTGTTATGCTGTTGCAGCTCAGACGTCATGCCCTCTTCCAGCTGTAGGTAACAGTGCTTAGCAGTCGCGGGGCGGGCTCTTGCCGGGGGGCAAATACGTGTACATGCCGTGGGGTCAGGCCGCTCTTCCTTACCGTAACAGGGGGACGCCTCTCTGGGCAGGCAAGGGGGCGCCGTGGGGGAGTGGTAGGGTACAGTAGGGTAGGTTCATGCGTTGCCATGCGGTGAGAACACGGGCCGTACTCGGCCGTAATATGCCTGCAGGTGTGTGGGTTTAGCGCGAGGACAGTGGTACGCCGTATCAGGCATGCTGTTGTAGGTTCAACAACCACAGTACGACGGGCCCTCGTGTAAGCAATAGGTGGCCATAGGCCTAGAAAAGTATGTGGTGGAGAGCGTGTCGCATAACCTATGCGTTCTGTCAACGCAGAAGGCCAGAGGGCCATACGGGATGGGGGCTAACATTGGCCTTTTCACGTTACATGTAAGTAGCATCTCCCTTCTCCTGATGAGGATAACCGTGCTTCACAGTCGTGAGGCGGGCTCTTGCCCGGGGATAGATTCGTGATTGTTGTTGTCGGGCAAGTCCGAGCTCCTCACCGCAACAGATCGACGCCTCTCTTGGCAGGTACGGGGGCGGCGAGTGGTATATACTCGTGCTTCACACTCGTGCGGCGGCCTCCTCCGCAATGTGGCGGGGCAGTGGCAAATTACCCCGCTTGGACATGTGTGAGTAGGAACTGTCGTCTAAGATTCTAGGCGCAGGGGTGGTCACATGGACACCGTTCGCTGTCATGGGCAGCCCTGGATATGGTTTCTCTGAAACTTGGCACTGGGAATCACCATATTCACAGGAACGTTGAATTGCAATCGAACTCGCCAGCCCCAATTCGTAGCACATAGGGGGTAAGTCGAGCCTGAAAATTTGGGGGGTCTGCCAACATGACGCATGCGCGTGCTTCTGTTTATTGTACATCTTTTTCGCCGAGGCGTTACGCCCACAGGGGTGGGGTCCGCCTGTAACGCGTTTGCCGTTTCCCGAGCGCGGCAGGGGGCGTTGCACCCAAAGGGGGGGGGGTCTGCTTGTAACGGCCCTGGCCCCCCCGAGGTGCCCGTCCACCTCCGTCTGTGCAGGCCCTGGGCCAGGTTGTGCCGAGGAGGAGGATGGATGAGGAGGAGGACGAGGAGGAGTAGGCCGTGCAGGGGAGGGTATTGGCGCGAGTGCTGCACAGCAGAGGCGGGGTAGTATCGCATCTTAATTTGTGTTGCATACATGGGAGTACGGGGATGCATTGGCTATCCGCCTCCTGCCTCCCCATGTGTCTCTGGTTATGCACTTGGGACGTTTTGCGTTGGAAGTGTACGCACACAGACACACACACACTGCATAGGAAGAAGAGAAGATGTGATAGTTGGCAGTAGTTTGTTAGGGAGGGGAGTGGCTGGTATTTGCAATGAAGTTCAGGCATCCCAGTTGATTGCATATGAAGTGTTCTTGTTAGGGCACGATGATGGTTACACTTTACCCGTGCCCTAAACGACAGCCGAGACTATCCTCCTCCTCCTCCTCCTCCTCCTCCTCCTCCCCTCCTCCTCCTTCGCCTCCGCCCTCCTCCTCCTCCTCCTCCTCCTCCTCCTCCTCCTCCTCCCCCTCCTCCTCTTCCTCCTCCTCTTCCTCCTCCTCCTCCGCCTCCTCCTCCTGCTCCGCCTCCTCCTCCGCCTCCGCTTCCGCCTCCGCCTCCGCCTCCTCCTCCTCCTCCTCCTCCTCCCCCTCCTCCTCCTTTTCCTCCTCCTCCTCCTCCTCCTCCTCCTCCTCCTCCTCCTCCTCCTCCTCCGCCTCCTCCTCCTCCTCCTCCTCCTCCTCCTCCTCCCTCCTCCTCTCCTCCTCCTCCCCCTCCCCCTCCTCCTCCTCCTCCTCCTCCTCCCTCCTCCTCTCCTCCTCCTTCTTCTCCTCCTCCTCCTCCCCATCCTCCTTCTTCTCCTCCTCCTCATCCTCCTTCTCCTCCTCCTCCTCCTCCTCCTCCTCATTCTCTTGCTTTGTTGCCTCCGCGAATCGCACCGCAGGTGCAGACCGGCGCAGTCAAGGCCAGACACAAGCGGTCGGGGTCCTTCGGTGGACGCATAGAGCGCGCCGGGGGAGCGCGCTAAGACAAAGGCGCAGCACAGCGGTGCGTCAGGCCGCTCACGGGAGCGCCCAACCCAAGGGCAACGGGAGACGAATCTGGAGAGGGAGGGAAAGGGCGAAGCAAGGAGCGGGACGAAGCAGAAGCGAAACAGGAACGAGAGAGTAGCCAGCCGGCGGGGAAGATGAGGATCCCTCCTCCTCCTCCTCATCCTCCTCCTCCTCCTCCTCCTCCTCCTCCTCCTCCTCCTGTTCCTCCTCCTCCTCCTCCTCCTCCTCCTCCTCCTTCTCCTCGTCCTCCTCCTCCTCCTCCTCCTCCCTCCTCCTCGTCCTCCTCCTCCTCCCTCCTCCACCTCCTCCTCCTCCTCCTCCTCCTCCTCCTCCTCCTCGTGCTCGTCCTCCTTGTCCTCCTCGTCCTCCCCCTCCTCCTCCTCCTCCTCCTCCTCCTCCTCCTCCTCCTCCTCCTCCTCCTCCTCCTTCTCGCCGTCCCTCCCCGCTCCCTCCCTCCTCCCCGCTACCCCCCCTCTGGCAGACGAGGCGCCGGCAGCCGCCTCGGCCCGCAGCTCCAGCAGGTCCTCGCCGTGGCCGTGGCTGGGCGCCGCCTCCCGCGCGCCCGAGCGCGAGCAAGGAGAACGGCGCCTGGCACTCGCTGGCGATCCGATCGGGTCTGTCGGAAGCCACTGCGCCCTCCGAGCGGAGGGACCCTCAAGGTTTTGGACGTTTGCCCAAATCTCCGAAGAATCACGGCGGCAACCGCGCGGGCCACTCTCCGAGACAGAGGCGGGCGCGCGCTGCTGAGCATCGCCTTCCCAGCCATCATCCGAAGCCGTGGCTTTTTCGCGGCGTGGCTCCTCAGAGATTTGGACCTCTTCCAAGGGACCAGATCTTCATCCCGAGTCGTTTCTCTACGGTCCTGGGGCCCGGCGGGGGCCCCCAGAGGCCGAAAACTGCCCAAAACCTTCATTCGTGAGGTCTGTCACGGCGCGAGGATGTTAATGGTCAGCGCCTGAAGCTCCGATCAGCGCTCCCCTTCTGGAGCGCTTCCCTCCAGGAGCCACCCCCGTCGTCGGGGCGGCTGGGGCTGCGACGGGCCTCCAGGCCCTTGCCTGGCGGAAGTGCCTCCCATAGAATTGCCCTACTCCTCCTCCTCATCCTCCCCCTCCTCCCCCTCATCATCATCTTCCTCCTCCCTTCTCATTAGAGCTAACTCCCGCCTGCCGCGCCCCCAGACGTGACGGTGGGGGGTAGGGCGGGCCAGGCGTTTTACCTGAGACCTCCTCACGCATATGATCCTGAAGCTTGAATTTGCGAAGGCTTCGCGGATGGAGGGGGGGTGTTTTCAAAACTTGTCTCTCGACTTCGCGCCGCACAGAGTCGTCTTAAAAAATGTCAACAGCTTCACGGATGGTTTGCGGGTGATTCAAAACATGTGACTATCCCCGTAGCGCTGTGCAGATTCGTCTTAAAAGTTTGCAACATTCCTGGCTGGAGGGTAGGTGGCTTTCAAAATGTGGCTCTCGCCAGAGCGTCGCGCACATTCGTCTTAAAAGTTCGCAACCGTAGCAATGTCAAACCAACTGGACGGCTCCTTTTTCAAAATGTGGTTCTCGCGTATAAATGATGTTCCGGGAATGGTGTTCTGGCACGAATTAGTATTACCAGGACGCAGCAGTCGCGCTACCATAGATGAGCTTGAAGCTTGAGCATTGCAACAGCTTCACGCGTGAAAGGCATGGCATGTTCAACACGTGGCTCTCGCCTCAGCGCCGCGCAAATTCGTCTTAGAAGTGTGCAAGAACTTCAAGGATGAAGGGCGGGTCATTTTCAAAACGTGTCTATCGCCATTCGCGCCGCGCGCATTCGTTGTAAAAGCTTGCCTCAGTTTCACGGGCGGAGGGCGGGTGCTTTTCAAATGCGGCTGTCGCTTTCAGCACCGCGCACCTTCGTCTTAAGAGCTTACAGCAGCATCACGGATCGAGGGACGGTCGTTCTCAAATTTTAGAGCACGCCTTGGATCCGCGCGCGCTCGCCTCACAAGTTGACCACAGCTTCAACGACTTGCAAGGCTGAAGTTCCAGGAAGGGCATTCTGGCACGATTTTGGACCGTCAGGACGCAACAGTCGCGTTGAGTCGCCGTGTTGAAGCCCCACGAATTTCATAAACGATGCTCTGGCACTGTTCAAGATTTCCAGGACGTGGCAGTCACGTTGACTTGCGGCGATAAGTTCCTAAAAATTGTGTGTGTGTGTGTGTGTTGGCACGGTTGGGAATTCTCAAACGTTTGTCTGTCAATGGGGCTCTTCTGGCAATGCGAACGAATTTTTGCAGGGCCCTGTGAAGAGGGAATCTGGAGGGAGGGTTGATTGCAAGATCGTTGATGCATCTTGGGTTTACACTGGTCCTCCTTCTCCCCGTCCCGCCCCGCCGTCGGGTCGGCCGGGGCTGCGACGGGCTCGTCCACGGGGGCGTTGGTGAAGGCCGAGGCAGCGCCGCCGCGCTCCTGCTGGAGAAGGGAGGGGGCGCGGGGGCAGGTGAGGCGGAAAGGAAGGGGGAGGGAGCAGGCAAGAGGCAAGAGGACGGGGGGGCAGGCTGCAGAGTCGGGTGCACGGAGGCGTTCCCCGATGCAAAGCACTCGATGTCGGGGAACTCCTCCACGGCGCCAACGGCTACGCTTCAGCGGCGCGGGGGAGCTTGAACTTCCTGGCCCGTAGCCATTTTGGCTCAAGCCGTTGCCCGCTCGGGGTGGGACCCGCGGGGACCCACGCGCGGGCGGCGGCAGCGCGGCGCCCGCCACAGGGGCTGCACAGGGGCGGAGGCTGCCCCCGGACTCCCCCTTCCTGCGGCAGCCCCTCGCGGCGCCCGCGGCTTCGGGCCGCCCGCAGTGAGCTGGGCGGCTGAGCGCGGCCCTCGGCCCGCGGCCCCTGAGGGGGCACGCCGCCGCGCCGAGAGGAATTCTGCGAGACGGAGCACCTCCGGCCTGTGGCCGAGGCCCCCCCGCAGTGCGCGCCGGAGATTGGGTTCTTCAGCACGTGTCAGAGGACGCGTGCAGGCGAGGGACTTTGCCAAGTTGACCATCGCCCTGAACGTCGCGCTCGACGCCGCCGCCCGCCCGCCCTTGCTCAGGAGGGCTGGCAGGCGCCACGCCGCCCACGCAGGAACCAGCTGCTCAGGCTCTGGAGCGACACGGTTTTGTGTCTTCGTGGTGCGGAGCCTCCGCCTCCGGCCCACGAGATGGATCACTATGAGGACGAGGAGGAGAACGAGTACGAGGACGAGAACGAGGGCGTGCTCAAGGGTTTCGACGGCACCACGGTGGTCGTGACGGAGGAGCAGGCGTACGCGGATGGCGATGGCGGAGATCTACGCGCTGCTGGAGGCGATCTTTGGTGTTGGCCGGGACCTTCGACACGCTGGAGACGCTGGAGGGGATGTGGCTCTTGGACGCGATCTGGTCCAACACGGAGGCGTGCTGGTTCACCACGGGGGCGTTCTGGATCAACCAGGGGGCGGACCGGATCAACTCGGAGATGACTTGGATCATCCTCTGGTCCAGGAGACTGCCAGGAGTGCCGAGGAGACGGATAGTCACGACGAGATCCTCTCCCTCATCCGCTGTGGCTCCGACCTTTCAGAACTGGCCAACATACGGATGGGCATTGGCACCACGGGCGTTGAACTGGGTGCTGTCTTCACCACTCCGAGGCCCAGAGCTAAGCAGTTTAACGTGACAAGGGTGAAGGACCAGCTCTTTGAAGCAGCCTCCAGGTTCCAGTACTTTTCTGTCCCAGCCACGGCGTACGTTTTCGACACTGTTGTCTCGGAGATGACCGAGGAGACGCGTGAGACTACTGTGGAGAAGCTGGCCGAGAGTTGCACGAGCGAGTCCGCACTCGATGCCTTATACAGCGCTGTGCTTTCCCCCTCGTGCACGTAACTGCTTCCCTCGCACGTGCACGAGGTGGAGGATATCGGGGCCGGGGAGGTTCTCGAGGCTTCGCAGTTCTTCTGGGACGCCAGGCGCTCCATCCGCTGCCCCTGCATGCCGACTTGGACGTGCACGTCGGCACCGCAGGCCCCATGGGCATCAGGGGCATCGGCGGGGGCACCGAGGCGGGGGTGCGAGTTTCACGCGAGCAGGCAGGCCTACTCCCTGATCTTGCTCCTTCCTGTTCGCGCGATGGTAGGCAGGCAGGCGGACGCGCTACCGCCGCGCACTGGATGCTTCAGCCAGGCGGCTGGAGCCGACCGCTCCGGGAGGTGGAGGCGGGGATATTTGATAAGGAGCAGGAGGGTTGTTGTTGCTATCTGTACCAGGTCCTAGCCACCTTGCCCGATGAGCGTGAGTACATGTGGAAGGCTCTGTTTCAACACTTCGCGATGTGCTCGTGTGAGCTCCCCGTCGTGTTGCGGCCAATTCCTGGCCTCCTCGCCGTCTGATGCAGTGGGCGATCGCTCCTGGCTCTCACGCTTGCGGCCGCTAGACCAGTAGAGGGCGGAGGAGCAGATATCGGGGCGGAGGGGGTTCTCGAGGCCCCGTATTTCTGGCTGCCACGCTCTCGGCCGCTGCCAGCCGCTGTGCGGTCACATTAAAGAGAGATGGGTGAAGAGGAGGCGGTGGATGTGGGTTGAGGCTATCTGTATTTGGCCAGTTCTTAGCCACCTATTGCCTGACGTGCGGGCGAGCACGTGGAAGGTGTGTTTGTCCCGATGCAGTTGGCCAACACATCGAAACTGAGCGCCTGACGGTGATCGTGGCTGATATAGTTGGGACACTCAGCCTCTCATAGTCGTTACTGGCGTCTCTCGTTCGGACTGTGCTCGTGGCCCGCCATTCCGATCTCTCGTCAGGGTCGGAGAGGTCGCCTGTGGTATGGGCTGGGCGCCGCTAGTTCAGTCAGCTTCGCGCCCGTGGCTTGTCTTCCGAGCGTGCATATATGGTGATGGCGGTGGAGTTGGAGGAGGTCTGGAGGTGATGGAGGATTGGAGGAGATGCACGTCGTCCTGGGCCAGCCGCCGCTGGCGATCATTGTCAGCGTAGCGCTCTTCGACTGTAGCCTCGGGCTTCTCTGCCAAGTTCTCTCCTCCATCTCGTGACCTTCGTCTTATGCTTCTGCTTCTAGTTCCGAGCTCTAAGGCGGCGCGCTAGCACCTCATCGGCCAGTCCCCTCCTCGGTGGCGGAAGTGGCTGCCAGCGCCACCCGAGGGAAGGGCAATGCCGAGGGGTGCTTCAGTCTTCCCACCCGTTACTGGCCATCAGCCTGTTGTTCCTCTCTATCACTTTCTTTCCCGTCCCTGTCGTTGCTGTACTTGCCATGTCATCCGTGTGCAGTGGACTGTCGGCAGCTTGCGCGACTGCACGCGGCGATGGCCCAGCGGCTTCAAGCAATCTCGCCCACTCGCTCCCGTCCACCACTTTGAGGAGGGTTATCCAGCCGTTGTTGGGGGGGGCATGGAGGTGCTCCTCGCAGCGCCCGATCCTGGCGGTCTTCTGGCGAGGCGTGCCTCACCAGCGGTCGGCCGAGGCCGACGCCGACTGACGCCACGAGCGAGCGCGCTCGGCGGCTTGGGCAAGAAAAAAAAGAACCTCCTGGATCGGAGCCCCATCCTCCTACTCGTCCTCCTCCTCCTGCTCCTCCTCCTCCTCCCCCTCCTCTCCCTCCTCCTCCTCCTCCTCCTCCTCCTCCTCCTCCTCCTCCTGCTCCTCCTCCTGCTCTTCCTCCCTCCTCCTCCTCCTCCTCCTCCTCCTCCTCCTCCTCCTCCTCCTCCTCCTCGTCCTCCTATTGCTCTTCCTCCTGATCCTCGTCCTCCTCCTCCTCCTTCTCCTCCTCATCCTCCTCCTCCTCCTCCTCCTCCTCCCCGCCGCCGCCCGAAATTCGGGACACTCATCCACGGCGCTGGGTCCTGGGCTTTGGCGCCGAGGAGGACCCCCCCAGGGGCGGCAAATCCGAGGGGCGGGTTCCCTGGCGGAGGTGCGGAGACTCCCGAAGAACCTGAGGCGTCACAGCAAGGACATCGGGAGACGCCTCCGTGCCGACCCGTCGGCTGCAGGACGCAAGGGGCAGGGACCAAAAAAGACGGACGAGGCAGGAGAGGGGAGGGAGCAGGGGAGAACGGAAGAAGGACGAGGGACAAGGGGCGAGAGAGGAGAGGAGGAGGGAAGGGAGCGAAAAAAGAGAGGAAAAGAGAGGGAGAAGGAGGAGGAGGAGGAGGAGGAGAAGAACAAAAAGAGAGGGGGGAGCGATGTTCCGCAGGCGGACACGCTCCAGGCCGCCACGGAAAAGAAGGACATGGGGGTGGACAGGAGAGGGGGAGAGGCGGTGAGACAGGGGACGGGGAGGGAGGGGGGCAGCAGAGGGGAAACTGGTGGGCGGGAGGATCAGTCCTCCTCCTCCTCCTCCTCCTCCTCCTCCTCCTCCTCCTCCTCCTCCTCCTCCTCCTCCTCCTCCTCGAGTCGGGAGAGGGCGAGGGCGAGTTAAACGGAGAGGGCGAGGGGGCGAGAGCGGGAAGGATTTTGTTGGCATTCGGCCCCACCGTCGCCCAGAGATGGACGGCGGCACTGGGCAGATGCGCCCCCATCAGACAGCACGCACCGACGCTGGCCTGGCTGTCGAACGCCGAGATCGTCAAATCCCGGCTTCTCCACGGCGGCGTGGGCGCGACCAGGAGGCCAGCGCATCGAGGGGCCAGGGGGCGATGAGGCCGGCGGCGCCGACCAGCTACGCGGTCGTCGAGACCGCGCCGCCCTGATGGGCCGAAGCAGCCTTCCACTGATGCCAGGCATAGTCGTGCGGCCAGGTGTTCATCGAGCGCCCTGCCCAGGCACGCCGACTTTCGAGGCTCCGATCCAGAGCACGCCGCGAGAATGCCGCGGAGCCTGCAACCCCCAACCTGAAAGCGTCTGCCGGCGAAGTCATAAGAGCGGTCATCCTGGGGCAGCTCCGCGCGCCAGCTGCGCCTGTTTCCGCGTTGCCCTCGCCGCCTGCATCCACCAGACTGGCTGCACCAGCGGCCCCGACAGCAACAGCTGGGAGAGCCGTCTTCCTTACAGGGCGTGGGGGAGCCCATCGCACGGACGACCACTCCAGAGAGCCGTCGAAGTCGACAGATCCTCGCCGAAAGCGCACGCGAGGCCAGCCTGCCTAATCAAGGTCTCGACTGGCAGCAATACATCACGACGCCCGTTCAGCATGCGGCCCCAATGTTTACAATACTGGATGGCAATATCCAAGCGTTTGCGGCACCGTAGGTACAACCGCTTGAGGCCAGAACCTAAACTTGTGGCGTGCTCGCATGAATACCCCTCCTGGTACATGTCGACGTGCTCGGCGACCTGGGTGTCCACCAAGTCCAGGCAAGTAGCCAAGTGAATTTCATGCACGTGCAAATGAAACATTGGCCTGACTTGTTTGCGGTGTAACTCCGACGCGCGACACGTGAGACCAACATACTGGAACTGTTCTGCCTGGGACCTGGAAGGGCGCTTCTTGACTTTGACCATGA